CCCTCAGGTTATAATGTGTCGTAATATTCTTACTAGAGAAACTAGGCGATAGGTAATAGGCGAAAAGCTATAGCAGATAGGCCATTCCGAGATCCCCAAGAATAGCTGGAATGACTTGTGTTTCTAGCTGCTTCTCTTCAACTCTCGTCAAGGTCATGGTCGACCTTGGTGTTGAGACCGATTCAAAGTTCTTTAGATTCGCGAAACAACTATTTCCATGTTGAAACGGATCGCCTATAGCCTTTGGCAATGACAATGTTTTCTGAAAAAGGTGTATCTTTCTGTGTCAAACCAATTTATTCGCATTCAGTACGAAAGTAGATATAAAAGGTTAGACTTATGGAGAATAAATATCGTATGGAAATTAGAAGTTCATTGATCGATTGTTGCAGTAAACATACAAAGAAATATCACTTATGTCTAAAGCACTCCGGGGAAGCTCCGATAATAAAACACACATGAAAGTATGTATCACTTTCAATAATATGCTCATCAAGTCAGGTAGTAACGTAAAAACCATCGGAAGTTAATGGAAGTAGTGCGATACTTCCTTAATCAATATACTTCCTGAACGAAGAGAAGAGAGCAGAATCGTCCTCTCGCTCTACCGGCAGAGCTGTTGACAAGTATTTGGATAAAGTTTATGCAATCTTTAATAAATCTTCTTAGGCGTAACACAGTCGGAAATGTAAGTTTTGGTTTTTGCAATTTATTGTAAATGAATTTATCGAACTTTGAAGTGGTTAACGTAAATTTGATAATATTCTTCAGTACAAGTGTTGGGCAGTTGTCTTCCTTACTATGAATCTTTGTACGTACTCTTTGCTTCTTTTTTCCTTTTCATTTCAGTTTCTAGTCCTACAAAACTTTGCCCTAATTTGTAAAATGTTGTTGGTTTTCACAGACATAAAGTATGCACTCTACTAAATGTTTGAAAAGTTCTTGTAATACCTGAGATAATATAGTTTGCGGCAAAATTAAAGGTGTACTTCCCTTGTAATGAACGAACAATGTGCAAACCTTCGAAATCATTGGTACAGGATAAACACGTTTGCTTTCCATGATAACTAAATATTTGAAAAGTTTGTAATACCAAGAACTGAATTCGAATATTGTTTTTTTTTAAAAATGACAAGATATCTTTCCCTCCCAGTTCATTCCTTTCATACCTTTGTCGTTCTTCATATTCTAGGAGCAACGAAATGCGAGAGAAACGGAATGAAGATTCAGGAACCGTATCGACGACGCATTTGAGTATTTCACATCATTTTTAATAAAAAAAAATTAACCTTTCTGATTTCCAGCAGCGCTGTTCGAAAAATTCGAGTGAAGTAACAAACACTCTAACGACTTAGAATGTATTCCACCATTTGATGTGACCATACGCTGTTCATTTTTAATTGATRATAAATTCAGTTCCTCGCTCCCTTGCTGTGCATGGCTAGGTCAGTAGACTTGACCATACTTTTGTTTGAGAGAATAGTAGGAATATAACAAAACTGATCAGCAAAGAATTAAACAGTCTGACAAAACGAAAGGTTGTGTTAAAGTGACTCAATAAGGGTTGCACTTGAAGGGAAAAAAAAAACATTCAGTGAAAGTATGACTGCAAACTACGAGTTCTTCGTAGCCGGCATATACCGTACAAGAAGGCTAGAACGTTGCGTGAAGAAAATATTCAACGCATCAGAAGATTTTGATATTAGCTCACTGTTGTGCATGTTAATATAATTGATTGTAGTTTAAGTATCCTGTAACACTGTGACACCCACAAACAAATACTGAATTCGTAAGATTGTATTCACTTTTTGAAGACGAGTTTAGATCACTCAACCAAATTAAAATTTCATGTTAAGCCCCGTTTTGACTGGCGACTTTTGCTGCGATTTTTGCTGCGATTTTTGTGGCAATTTTCGGAAATATGAAATATTTTGTCTCATCCTTCAAAAGAGACAGTCGTCTAGGAAAATCTTGGTATCCTGAAAAAACTAGTGAATTCTTTTCCATTATTTATTATGGACAAGATCGCAGCAAAAATCGCCGCAAATCGCTAGTGCAAGGGGCTTTAAGGACTTTGGCAAATAACTTAAACTGGTCAATGTTTTGACACAACATTTCTATTTCTAGGGATCAGGGATCGTCCAAGTTTTCGATTCAAACTAGAACCTTTTTTGGCAGGGTTTTCTTACTAATCGCCACGATCTTGAAGAATCGGACATTCATTTATTGGTTCCGCCATATTAAACTGGAAATATAATAACTGAAAAATACTGTAATTTAAGTAGATATATTGACACATTTGAATCAAATAACTAACAACAGGAGGTAGCAAGAGTGAGGTTTCTGCAAGAGTTACATTTTAAACAAACTGTTTTGAAAGTATGTGGGTCGTAACAGTTGTAACTGTCCAGTGACGTTACGTAGTAACTTAACATGGCGTGTTTAAAAATGAGTTGAGTTTGTCCATGTTCAGGTTTAGTTCATCAGCGAGAGCGTTCCATACTGAGATGAAATACGAGACTTTTCCCCCTCTAGTGACATCATGTTCTTAACCTGTATGAGGCTAATATTATAGAGAAAATCGCGAAAAGACTCTTCTACTACTATTAACAAGGAAATTCCTTCTTTAGCGCATTTATACATCGTCTCAATTACATTTTTATGACCAGTGGAGGGCATTCGGGCTGCCTATCGAGGCTCTACATAAACAGGCATACAGCTTACAATCATGTACAAGAACATGCGTAATAGGTAAATTACGAGCCTTGTACGAAACGACTGAAGAAGAGGGCCAATGGGCCTTTCACAACTTCAAGTCGCGTAAAAAATGAGCCAGCTCAATTAGAAACCGTGGATAGCTGTTTCGGCCTGTATTGGGCCTCGTCAGCAAAATCACTTACAATCTTGAGTGAATAATGTACATTATTATTATGCCTCCAAATTGGGATAGGCTGTTGAACCGGGAGACAATCCCCTACACTTACGCGAATCACTAATTCAAAGGGCCTATGGTTTTAAGTTCTTATCCGAAAAGACTTGAAGGAATATCCAGTTGCAGATGCAATTAAAGGGTCAGTACCTTCTTCTCAGTAATTTTAAGACCCCGAGGACCCGGAAGAGAATCGAACCACGATCTCCCGCACAACAGACCGTCACGTTTACCAATTGAGCTCACTGGTAACCGGTAATGCGAAAGCCAGGGTGCATGAGTGCGAAAATATATGAAAATTGCCACGTAAGATCTCCACAATCTGGGCTTTGAGTAAATAAACAATATAGAAAGAAAGTGGAAACTATCATTTTGGAAGCTTTTGGTATAGACTATTTTACTTCGTACTGTATTGGCGTATTGTTCCCATTTCATCCCTTGCCATTTTCTTTACAAAATATTCTTATTTTTTTGAGTTGTATCCATATAGTCTTGTGTCTTTTCTTGTGCAAAACGGAATACAATAGGGAATAATACGTGGTCTGAAATGCAAAAACATTACGGTAGAGGCCTAGCTGCCCAACAAATTAGCCTATCCTTTTCCTCTTGTCCAACGCTCTTACGTCTTAATCCACGTAATGAACAGAAAAAGAAAGGCATTTTTTGAGCGAGTGAGGTTAAGTTGGGTGGTAAATGCTCTTTTAAATGTATAGTGAACTCTGCTATTAGTTACTTAACAGATTGTTGAAGTTGTAGATGACAACATCGGTGAACTATTATCACATTACGTACCGTTCAAACGGGACTCTAAGATTAACGGGTTTCCTTTTCCTTTCGCCGTGCTAGAGCTAGCTAGAGTTAGTATCACACAATCACTAGCCATGACAACACGATGCATAAAAGAACAGAATAAAATTGCACAAGAAGGACTGTGTAATCGACCTAACGCAAAAACACTTGAAAATTTTCCGAGTCTCAAAACTGGGAGTTATCAGACGAACATGTTCAAGTGTTTTACTATTATACCATTTACGTTTAACCGTTATTAAGCATAGTAAAAAAAGGAGCGTACGAGAGCGACATCAAAATACATGCACAGCATCGTCTAGACTGGAACCTTCAGTTCCGAAACGTGACACAAAGTGACGCAAACGTAAGACTATAACATTTTATCAAGTCAAAGTTGAACACAGTTCAAGACAAACAAAAAAAAAAAAAAAAGGAGATGAAAAAAGTTACATCATTTTTAGTCATGATGTAATTAGGAGTATAGGAACACGGTGAAAAACCTCCACAAAATATTATAAAAGTAAAGTTGAACACAGTTCAAAAAAAAAAAAAAAAAAAAAAAAAGGAGATGAAAAAAGTTACATCATTTTTAGTCATGATGTAATTAGGAGTATAGGAACACGGTGAAAAACCTCCACAGAATATTATAAAAGTTCCGTTACTTCTTAAAAATTATAAGAAAATGTAGTTTATCTTTAATATCGATAGCTCCATTCGAACTCGACTCAAAACTCTAATCTATGAGGAGAGATTGCTTCCCGCTTCCTGGGAGTATTTTCCAGTGAATAGAGAGTTTTAGATTGATCAACTGACGTTTCACGTTTGCCGTGAACGTAAATCTAAAACTCTCTAATAACATAGAGTTATCCCCTACATTGCATTTTCATCAGATACTGATAGTTTGCTAATCCTACCTTTTGTAAGCATGTATTTTGGTATTTTGGAATTAAAAAAAAAAAAGAAAAAAGAAAAAAAAAAAAAAAGAAAAAAGAAAACGTATTTAGGATGAATAAACTAAAAAATGTCAACAATGTCGTCTACAACTTTGCTATGCATAACTGAATGAAGCGATAGAAAGATGATGATACTCGAGAAAAATTCCAAAACACGCTACAGTTTCTTTCGCACCGTCAAATCGTAACATCCCACCATTCCCATACAAAGGAAATGCGGTTTCCTTCCGGATAAGTTCGTGTGGGAGGCAGAATCGCAAAAGTATGGACTCTCCCTAGAAGCGGGTGCATATATAGCCAAGCAGCATACTCTAGGTCCTCATTGAAAAGATCAACCAAGACCTAAGAAGACCAAAAATCAAACTATCTGAAGAAGAAGACGACCCGCAGTTTGCTAAACAAGAAACATGGACAAAATTATTATCGTAAGTGCATGTAGCTAGAATTGATTGGTAAACGTTTACAGCTCAAGCTAGCCGTGAACAAATCTTTTAATTTGTTTTTTAATTTATTTTTATTTTTTCAATTTATAATCTCCTTAACTTTCTAATATTTCAAACCTTCTAAAATAATGCATTGGGTTCAAATACACCGAGTTATCAAAATGAATCTTATTTTCAATCGATTGGCTCAAGGGATGATTTACAAGTATGCATTTTTTTTAAATTGACAAAAAACTAACTCGAAGGGTCCAAGGCTCGATTATCCTCACTACCTTCAAGTAGTGCGTTCATTTTTCAAGCTATTTTCTAACTTATTCTATGATACGTAGACTGTAGATTTTTTCTTTTTTCTTTTCTTTTTCTTTTTTGTTGCTTTTTCAGTGTTGTTTTTGTTTTTGTTTTGTTGTCATTTTGTTTTTTARATATCTTGCTAATTCACATAAGAACTAGATACACGTGATACACGTACATATTCTTTTTGCTGTTTAAACCTGTAATTTGAACTAACAGGAGTAGTTAGTACCCAGAATTGGTTTCATTGTTTCCATTTTCAACTATTTGTCACTGAGTGGTTTTTCGTGATCTTTTTCGTTAGTTATCTTACAATACGCGTAGGAACTATACAACCAGTTTGCCTGCAGAGGTACAACTTTGCTCTGCCGTTTCTTTTTGCAGTTTAGAATATTATCTGCATATTGAAATCATAAAGACAGCCGTACTGAGTAGAATTTTTGGCTTTTTCTATCCCAAAACAAGAAATCGTCAGTGTTTAACAAGTAGTAATGGTTTTAAAGATGACTTGCAATTTTTCTTTCTTTGATAAGTTTCCTTCTGTATTGAAGCTACGGGAGAAAACTGGACATTCCTTCTTCGTACATTCGGTTGTTAACACTACCTATTTCCAATCCAATCTTCGAGTAACCAGTCCACAAGTCTGTTATATATTTGTGGTATCAACAACGCTGAAATGGAGCGGAAACGATTGCTGAATAATAAGAAGCAGTAGAAATATTCGTGAATATAATATTTACTATACATTTATTTAGCCATTTCCTTTTCGAATTTTGAAATTCACGCTCACGAAGAAAAATTTGCTTTTTTTTTTGTTTTTGTTTTGTTTTTTGAGCTGGGTGCCGCCCTAGTTTCCGACCGGTATGAACGATCTTGTTAGAGTTTCAAATTGATCGACGGAAATGATTTAAATCAATAAACCACACGTAGTGCTCGTATGGTTAAACTAACCAGAAGTTATGCCGGTAATATTGAGTTAAGATTTTGTGCCGCTTGACCTATACCACCAATAGGAAAATAAGTAAAGGCTTACTTATTCAACAATCAACCAATATTTTATTATTATTCTATAACATCTATTTGTTTATATTTCCTCCATCTTATATATATGTTTATTTTAGGGTGCAAAAACTTGTTTAACTTCTAAGGTTTTTCTTCTTAACAAAGCGAGCGCCATGTAAATTTCCGGTTGGGCTATGGTTACTAAAAATAGCCCAACCGTAAATTTACGTGGCGCGGGCGTTGATAAGAAGTTTCCCTCTCTTATTTATGCTCTCTTCTTTATATTAGTAAGTTTTTTAGTGGAAAATTATTAGATCTTATTAACCGAGCGAGAGGTCTGTACGGGCTAATCTTGACCGAGGTCGGAATGTACAGACCGAGGTCAAGATTATCCCGTACAGACCGACCAAGCTCGGTTGATAAGAGTTTTATTATATGACCACTTTTCATTGAAAAGGACAAAATGTTTTCGCCGTAAGATTAATATGCGATCGGACCGGTTAATACCGGAGAATCTAGACCAGTCCGCGATGCGATCTATCCAATCAGATTGCTCGATTTGCTAGTGTCCAGGCTCTAAGATTCACGGTCATATAATAATGTCCAATAATAATAATTTTTTTTCACATTTAGTTGTAACGCCAAAGTTAAAACTTCATCAAGTCAGGGTTATCCCAGATTTTGTTTCTACAGCAAAATATATAATAGGTTGTTCGAATAGCAATGTTCATAATTTTCCTTATTACATATTTACGTTGGTTTTTGTCGAAACCTACATTTTCTAACATTTCAATAAATGTTGCACAATCATTAGAAAATACTCCGAGGAAACTTATTGAAAGATTAACAAACTTTACATGGCTATAATCACTATTTAAATCACTAATACATTTTTTATATTTTTTCTTCTTACGATCAGCATTATTCTTAAGGTTTGATTCAAAGCCAACAGTAAGTTCCAATATATAGAGTGTACTAGATGTTTTTAAAATCAAGTCAGAGCGATAACTATCGTCAGTTATAATGGAAGGACTGTGATAATTATCAAGGTCAGCATAGAGAGTAGAATTGTCAACGGTTTTGAGTGATGAGGCAATAAAGTTGAGGACAGAATTATTGCTCCAGGTGAAGCGATCGAGATAGTGTTGACATCCACTTACTATATGTAAAAGAGATTCGGATGAAAGACAAAATGAACAATCTGGTGATTGCGAGATACCCCATTTTACGAGGWTTTTCCTGGTTGGGAGAGTGTTATTTATGTAGCGTACGGTGAAGTCGTAGATGTTCTTAGGAAGGTTGGATTGTGCCGATGACCATAAGCCATTTAGTTTTGACAGGGAATAATTGATTATAATATAAGGATAATAATATAATGATAATGATAATAATAATAATAATAATAATAATAATAACAATGATAATAATAATATTTCATAAACACTCTGGCGGAGCTTTTCTAACTTCGTTAATCTATAGACATTTTCACCTTGAGCAATTTTTTTTTCATTTCAGAGATTCATTTGTGGTCTTGTTTTGCACAGCCTCAATTTTTTCTATAAAATTTAAGTCTTATCTTTTCTAATTGTTTGCTTATTTTAGGCTTTGCTTGTTTTCTTCGTTGTTACCGCATACACCACACAAGTTCCTGATGGCCCGTACAAGATCTCGGTGTATCCCAAGCATCACGACTTCGTCACACGTCCCTGCCATATACTGATGATGAAAGTCGGCCTAAACGGTAAACGTACTCTGGGACTTGGAACCTGTTGCGATCAGGACCAGTGGACAGGTTTGTATTACGGATATATTTTCTTTCGCTTTTACTTTTCGAAAAATTCATGAGTATCCCAAATAATACGAAAGGAATAACGAAGATATCCCGATGAGTTTCAAAACAATAGCTGTTCACTCTCCTAGAGGTTTGTCACGTTCAATTGGGAAAACATTGTCACGCGACGAATAAGGTGTAGGACCGAGAACTGGAGCTGGAGCGAGCGGAGAGCAGCAGAACTTAAGTTAACCACTAAATGGTTGACAGAAAGCCTAACGGCTTTTGCAACCCACTTGATAAGGCTGCCGATAGTTCGAATAAGGAGATGCGAATAAGAATTAAGATTTTTTTGGAGGGAGAAAAAATGGAGAACCCGGAGAAAAAACCCTCGAAGCAAAGGAGAGAATCAACTATAGAAAATCTTCTCGCGTACCACAACGCCAGCCAGGCGGGACTCAATCTCGCCAGTAAAAATGCACAGAGGGCGACGGGCTATGCGAAAGTCTAGGGTCGTCTTGGTGAAATTAATGCAAGCGACCTCACCGTTTCCCTAATAAATGTATTTCGTCTGTTCCAGACCTTCGAATTGTACGAGGACGGGCCGGTGGAGTTACCAAATTGAAGATAATGAGCAACGATTTGAATTATGTTCTTACAGACAAACTGGAATTCGTGGTAAGTATACTTGCGTAAACTAGCGTTCTGTCTGTCAGTCATATCATCTGATGTATCTTTAGCTTATCCACATGTTGCGTGACACTGAATATGATAGCGAAGTAAAGCTTAAACAAAAACTTCAAATATGTAAAATATAGAGTTCAAAAGTTGCCGTATACACTATAAATAGCACAGTACTCACTTTCGGTAACGCTCAGTAAAGCTCGCACTTTCATGCATTAGCGTGACCATTTCTGTGAAGTGTGACATTTCTAATGATATGACATTGTGCTTATGGCGACACCTGAAAACGTTTGCGCACGCGTGCCTTTTTAGCACGTTTTCTAAGGATTTAGAAGAGTTTACAAATTTTTTTGCGAGAATACTTTTGTTAGATCAAAATATAAAATGAATCACTGAAAGAAAATATCAAAGTCCAAGCATTGGCTGCATTTTTGGTACTTTGTGAAGTTTTTTTACTAGTCACAGTGTTGATGGTTGCAAGTATTCCCAAGGGAGTCCAAAAACAAAAACATGGCGGCCATTGTGGTGCCATTAACAACGGATGCTAATGAGAAATCTTTTGTTAAATGTACCAACATGGCCGCGATGATGACGTAACGTGGTAACGAAGAATAGCCATAGCAAATCTACAATATAAAAACAGTACTTTCATTGTATGTCAAATGCCCTAATAACAAGTAATGAACTAGATAGTTCTATTACAAATGTTTCTGGTCTATAGTACAGTGTTTTTTTATTCTTTTTATTTTTTTTAACCCACCCAGAATACTACTTTTGCGTCGAGCATGAATCCAAACAAMGTGTATTTCAAGACTGGACTTACCATACTGTCACGCAGAGATAAAACATATCTAAAACCAATGTCTTCTCCTAACAAATTCCTCTCGGGTGACCTTTATTGGACGAAAAAAGTTACACTGGTCAACCGAGAATCTTTAATTACAAACTTCATGCTGAGTAATTCTACTTGCCAAGCTTACTTACAGTATCCTAGTTTCAACTACTGCCAACAAATTGCAGGTATAAGATGTGGCTAAGGCCACTCAAGCCATTTAGTTTGCTTTAATGTAGCCTGCATATCGGTCCAAAGGTTTAGGGGATAATGGCCCCCCCCTTCCCTTCTCCGAAATTCTGCCCCACCCCAACCGTTTGGGCCGCTACGCAGGCTAGAAGTTAAAAGTTGCACGTGCACATGTAAGCTCAATATCAGTAGTAGTAGTTTAGGGTAAATAAGGTCGATACTGAGTCAATATTTCATATCCACTACGTCTATTATTTTATTAGTATTGCCAAGCTTTCGGCCATATTGGCATTCTTCAGGGCAACGTGTTATTTCATGTAGCCTTGAATCGCCAATATGGCCGAAGTTATAAACGTAGTGAATACGAAATCTTGACTCAAATGCATCCTACGTACAAGAATACATTTGGAGGTCGTTACKGCTTGATGTTTTTAGTGCCGAAGGACATTCTCGTACCCAGACCCTTCTCTACAAAAAATTGAAGGTTTTGGTAACACGCAAACCGGAAGACCCAGATGTCGTCAGATATGCGCATGCTCCACATATTCTGACTTCCGGTATAACTTCAAACCGTGTTTTTTTAAATGAAAAACAATCAAGCTTATTTTATCCATTGCAAATGGAACAGTTTATTTGTCTGTGATTAACATTGTGATGCGTACGGTAAAGCATTCAAATGTCAACCGTTGTACGATAAAAAATCCGCGAAACAGATGATTATGCAAAAAATTTAAACCAATCAAATGAACGGTCGATTTGTTTGTTACAAGAGCCTTCGATTTTTCATTAGAAAGCTGAGAAGGCTTTGGTTACGATGAGAATGTGCCGAATGATTGAGGCATCCGAACTAAAAATGATACTGATCTGAGTAAAAATGTCCACTCGTATTCACATAAATTTTTGTACGTAGATTGAATAATTTATTTTTTGCCAGATGATATTTAAAAAAATCTTTTTAATGTATTTTTACTCAATTAAAACGACGAGGTTTATTTGGACCCGGCGTGATTATTTAATAACCATATTTTGCTTTTGAAGTGTAACAAGATTCCAAGGTTATATGTAATAGTATTGAGTTATATTTAATAAAGATTATGTCTAAAACATATATGGAAAGTTCGATTTCATTTATGAACCTTTATCCACAGCAGCCATGTTGACTGTTACGAGTAACTATGATCACCACACAGCCTGCATATATCGCTTATCATCATCGTCATCATCATCATCATCGTCGTCAGCATTATCATCGCCATCATCACCATCGTCATCATCACCATCGTCATCATCACGACCATTATCACCACCACCATCATCATCACCCACCACCACCACCACCACCACCACCACCACCACTTCCACCACCACTTTTATTATTGCCATTATACTTGAACTAGAAAAACTTCTCAGTACGCATGCGCAGATTTCTATTTTTAAGTCATATGAGCCGATATTCAAAAAAAATATATATATATTTTGTACTTCGATTGTAGATTGAGTTTTATTGTCGAAATAAGATACTATTTACAAGCGTTATTACAATTTTGATGGATAAGCTGTCATGAGTCAGGTATTTCTAAGTTGGAGCCGCTACAAGTCCCGCGGGACCTTTGCCGAGTTGCTGTCCCCCAACATTACTTTCGAGTGGCCTGAAGCCCAGTTCTTCAGTAGGAACACCAAATGAGCTCAGTTTGGCTTCGTAAGTTCGGATTAAGTCGTTGTGTGCCTGTCGAGAAAGAGAGAGTTCTAAAATAACTATCATGAATCTCATATTCTGATTGGTTGGTTGATTGGTTGCGTGCTTTATGACCGACAGCACACACTCTTTACGCGCATGCGTCATTTATTGATCTAAAATAATGATGATTGCAAAGTGCATTTTATGAAGGAAATAAAAGGAAAAAAACTACCTGTCTCCAGTTATAAAGCACTTTGGAGTTAGCAGAGCACTCGAGAAGTGTTGAGAAGCAGTCCGCTAAGTGTCGTGCTTCTCCTAACACTTCTCTCGCGTTGTGCCAACCCCCGCGTGCTTTATAACTGCACACAGCACGCGCTCGCATTATCTTTTTCTTCACGTTTTCTATTTCTTCATATTGTCGGGGAGGTAAAACTAATAAGCCAGGATGAAAGGCCAACATTAGAAGCCAACTCTCTCAATGCATTTTCAACTCATAATGAGGATGGACAAGAAGATTTGACATAAAAAACTATTATTATCCAATGATAATAAACTGGTCCTTTGCTTTAACCCTGGGTCTTTTACTCACCTTACAGACACGTGCAAGCTCGTACTGAAGGTCCTTTATTGCACTGTTCTTTGAATCCAACACGTCCTAGAAAATATTTAGTGGTGTTCAATTTACAAGGAATAGAAACCATAGTTAGCGATTTCCCCCGTTCCATCAATCAAGTGCTGTCTTTGAGCAGTAAAAAAAAAAAAATTTTTTTCATTTCAGTGGGTTTACCACCCTAGGTGGACGGCTGGATGCCTAACAGGCCTGCCACCAAATTGATAAGGCAGTCAGTTAGCACGGTCACTGAAGATGGTCGTCACCATCGTCTTCAGTGGATCTTTAACGTCCGCCTTATACAGGGTTACATAGTGAAGACAGAAGGGGCCTACGGTTTTAACTCCTTGTCCGAGAAGACTTGAAGGTCTAACCATTTGCAGATATAATTGCAAAGGCCGGACCTTCTCCTCAGTTATTTTAAGACCCTGAGCCCTTGGTCCGGCCGAGGCTTGAACCACGACCCCCTTACCAACTGCGCTAACCGGGTGGCGGTAAAAAAAGGCGCGCTCGACCTCAAGACGAAGGCACTAAAATGTTATCAGGTGCATGCGTTTTTCATTCTGGCACTGTCGACAAAATCCTATGAATAATATGTGTGAATCAAGAAAATACTATCTGGAGGACAGTATAACTTAGTGTAAATGAAAAGCAACATGACAATCCATATACCTCTAGTTTTCTTGTAACAACAGTAAGAGCTGTAGGATCCAAGTTGGATGCCGACAAGACTTCATTGAGTTGTGCTTCCTGTGAACGTAAAAGATAGTAGTCCTGCGTATAATACCGTTTTAAAATGTTATTTATTCTAGGAGTAAATCAAAGGGAGGGGTGGAAGGGGAAAAGAGGGGAGGGGAGTGGAACGGAGAAGAGGGAAGGGGAGAAGAAGGAAGTGGAGTGGAGGGGAGAAGAGGGGAGGGGAGAAGAGGGGAGGGAAGAAGAGGGAAGGGAAGAAGAGAGAAGGGGAGAAGACGAAAGGGGAGAAGAGGGGAGGGGAGTGGAGTGGAGTTAAATGGAGTAGTGTGGGAGCAAATGTGTAAAAAAGGTCGAGTGGGAACTTATAAAGGAGGCACGGCAAATGGTGCAATTTCATTCAAAAAGGAAACTCAAGCAATCTCTACAAACCTTCTTTTCCAGCGTATCTGCCAAGGCAGACARTTTTTTCTCAAGAAGTAAGTTTTTAAAGTTACTCTTCTGTTGAACCTCATGGATGGCTTTGACGAATTTCCCATACAATTCATCCCTCTCGCTCTGAGTCTGAATGATAACAGAAACCAAGACGAATGTTAGAAGGGATATCAATGGCTAATAGATTGAAGGCACTTAACCCGTGGGGGAAAAATAGGCTACTCCCCTACCCCAAATGATAACAGCCAAACCAAGACGAATGTTAGAACCCGTGGGGAAAAAATACCCTCCCCCCCCCCCCCCCCCAAAAACAAAAAACAAAAAACTAGTCAACGTATAACAGTCAAACAGACACAAAAGAAAACAATAGAATTAGGGTTTAGTGAATTCACTCCAATAGACCTCCTCAGCTCTGGAGCGCTCGAGCGTAATGTTGTCACATTTCAGACCACGTGTCATTCCCTTCAGAATGATATTCTTTGTTTGAGTTGTATCCATATTCATGTGTCTTCTCATGTGCAACCGAGCACAACCGTTAAACAAAGAAATGATACTCTAGGGAATGACACGTGGTCTGAAATGGAGCAACATTACGTCAGAGCCGAGGAGGTCTATTATTAAGGGCTGCTCCACTGTTTAGCGGTTTAGTAGAACGGTTTTATCGTGTATTAATGGTAAACACACGTTACGGATGGCATGAATGCGCGCGATACAACACGACGTTGCATTTCTCGGTCGGTATTCAACATGTTACGGCCAAATCATACTACACTAAATAATCCATTCCATCCGGTTGGAAATTCCTTCGCTAATGGAGAGAAAAGAGCGAGAATCTTTGACTTCCGAGAAATGCCTATGGTACACGCGTCACGCGTCTACCCGAAGAACCAAAAAGAGCGGGAAAATTGTATTCCCTCAATCGAAAGACCGAGTTTTACGGAACTATCCGATCGAAATGACACATAACATTCGTTTTCCAACCGGAATTTCTGGTTTTTCCGGGTAAAAGGTAAATGTTTTTTTTTTTTTTGATTCATATAAAATCTAGCGGCTCTAATATCAGCCCTAACCTGTGCGAATCTCTGTTGTAAGACCTCGTGTTCCCAGTGCAAGCTTTTTAACTCCTCCTCTTGTACTTTTAGTCTTGCCTTTGCGCTCTACGAAGAAAYAGAAGAATCATATAAAGCACTGGGGGATTGACAGAAGTGTCCAACACTTTTCTCGTGTTGTGCCAGCCCCCGCGTGCTTTTATGACAGCACGTACACAGCACGCGCGCGCGTTTTCTATTTCTTCAATATCTTCGATAAATTAAGTGTTCAATGCATAATTCGAGACAGAGGTATATACTTACAGCTAGAGAAGCTTTGTCTTTTTCATAGTTTGAAAGCTAAGGAGAAAAAATCATCGTAAGTCAAGAGAAAAACGTGGCACTATCGTACAGCTATACCAAAAACTATTAACTATTATTAGCTGTGCGAGTTATTCTATCTAGTGATACTGCTAGTAAAGATAATCTACTTCTTCAGATGATGAATGATGATGATAATAATAAAGGATGATAATGATGATCTAGTGATACTGCTAGTAAAGATAATCTACTTCTTCAGACGATGAATGATGATGATGATATTTTTTTTAATAATGCGGGTAGTGGTGGTGACAAGCTGTTGTTGATAGCCCACTAACCTGTTTTCGTAGTTCTTCTACTTCCTCTCTCGCTTTTTGTAAAGGTTCGGTCAGACGTTTATTCTCCGCCATGATTTCATTCATTTGTTTTTCCATTCTTTCTTCCTTCTTTTTCATTTCTTCAACTTGTTCCTGTAGTTTACAAACGTTAGGGTGATGGGCAACAACGATTTTTCGCGCAACAATATAGCTCAAAAAAAATTTACTTCATGGCGAAAAACCAGAGTTGCGAAAAATTATTCTCGTGTGACATGGAGCGCGGTTAGTTTTTTAACGAGTTTTGGCTGCAGCAAAATGTTGCAGAATTTTGAACGACCTTCAAAACTCACAACATTGATTTCTATCTTCGATTTGTATTGTCCCGCCCCATGTTGCACAAGTCAACTTTTAACGCAACAACGTTGCGCTAAAAATCGTTTCGTGTAACATTGACTTTTCAAGGGTCTTGACATCTTGATAAAAATCCACTTTAAGCTTGGTGCGCGGGCAGCTGAGATTAAAGGGAATCAATGGACTTGACATCACATAACGTGTAGATGCGCTACAAGCTCGTTCTCTACCGTCCTTTGACTAGATTGCGAGCAGTCTCACTTCTTCCTCCAGACTCCAGAACTCCTGCACGCGTCCACAGCAATCCTGAAACACTCGTAGTTTACGGAGTCTGGAGGGGAAAGTGAGACAGGCTGCTCGCAGTCTATATACTCTGACTAAACCAGGAAAGACAAACGATACCACTAAGTCATCGCAAGTAGTTGTTGAAGTGAGAAGACAGCATTAACGTGCAAACTTGTAGTGAACGACTGTCGTTCCCATTGAAAGGGACCTTGGTAAAGTATATCAGTATGCAGTGTACATGTATATTTCGAAAATCGTTGTCGCACCAAGAGCCTCAAGTAACAAGCCAAGGCTCCAGAGAACGTCGGTACTTTCAATTATATATAATTGATTTATTCATGGTTCATGCAAGTGGCTGTAGCTCTCCACTAATTATCGTCTCAAGCAGCCTTGCTTGGAGCAATTTGTGAAGTCAATAAATGAAAAATGCACCATGAATAAACTAATTACAGCTAAAAGTACCGGCGTTCTCTGCGGTCTTGGCTTGTTGCTTGAGGCTTTTGGTGCGACAACGATTTCTGAAATAGGTGTATACGTGAAGTGTAGCGTTTAATCATACCTTCAATGAGTTGATCAGGGCTAGGTTATTCAGTGTAATATCATTATAATAGTTCTTAATATCACTGAAGGCTTTTTCATGGTTCTTCATGAGTGTGTTAATCTGACCATTCTTACGCTGCAATAAAATAAAATAAATGGATCAACAATCTATTAGTATCAATCATGAACAGCACCAGTTTTCAATACAAATGAACATGAATGGCAGACACTTTGCTCTTTAGTCAGGGGTGGTGGAATAATATTTATTCAACTGGGCCCGGTTGTACGAAGCCTGGATAGCACTATCCGGCGGATAAATCCTTATCCAGTGGATAAGTCGATGCTGTTATCCAATAAATTCATGCACCGAATAAGATTTATCCATTGGATAGCACTATCCAGGCTTTGTACAACCAGGCCCTGATCTTTATTTGCTCTTTAGTGAGGGGTTGTTAAATGAAATTTATCCAGCTGATTGTAACTAATGAGCAAATATGATCCTGTTTAATGAATATTGATTGATTGAATAAAGTATTACAATACAATACAATTTTATTTGGCACCTTATACTAATAGTACATGAGTGTTTGATTCCAAATATATTATAGGTATATATATATACTATGTATTAGGTAATTTTCTTAATTCATTTTCACGTATCAGCATACATTGATGAATGTATGCTGATATGGCTCTTTGTAGAGACGCTGATTTTGAATTGATTAAGAACATAAAACGACTGTCATGATGACAGCCTACTGTACCTCTTCAATCTCGTGGATTTCTGTCTTTCTTCTCAATTCAAGTTCTTCTCGTAGTGCTTTCATCTTCTTATCATATTTGGCTTCGATTTCTGCAACACAATATCACATTATATCCCAACATATCTCCTGTTATTTCTTTCGCAGTAAAATACCTGCCTATACATCAGTTGTACATTTTTATTGGTGTTATTTAACAATATTGAGCAACTGATTCTAACCTTTGACTTGACGTTCAAAATCTTGTCTCAGTTTTGTAACATGTTCGTCATGTTTCTGTTGATCAAAGGTACGTATACATACAAACATGAATATAAATAATCTTATGAAATAAACAGTTTAGGGTGATGGGGATTAACTTAAGTAATGGTCAATGCGTGAAGCTTGGATATCTCCAGTTCTGAATGCACACAGGAAGCTGCTTTAAAAGCAGGAGAGAAGCATAAGAGTTGCATGAGGCATAGCCAAGAAGCAACCTCCCAAAATTCAAAATGATTTAAGAAATACTTTGTGTTCTGAAAGACAGTTTTGATGTCCTGAAAAAGATGCATGAAATTAATGGCTGAAAATGATTTTTGTCTTCACACGAGCGTGCACAATCCATTTCTTATTCATACAAATCCAGCCAATCAGAGTGCTCGTTATATCTTGGCTATGTCATAAATTTTTAAGACTTTAAATTCTTAAATAATTAGAGTAGCCCTGGATCTTTTATTTGATAAAAAATGTCTAACTTGAAAAGAAATTGAGCAGTTCCATAAATTATCCTAACCCCCTCCACAGAGGCATTTGGAATTTCAGAGTGGGAGGAGGGGGGGGGATTGATCACTTCTGGAACTACGAATAAAAAAACCGTCCATAGATTTGAATGATTTGTGTATGTTACGTAGTCTGTAAGGCATTAGTTAAAAGGTACTACTATCTTACTCTCTTAAGGTTCTTCACAACATCTTCATGTGACAGTTCTTGTTCTTTCAATTCAACCTAAAAAGAACATTAAATAGAGAAGAAATGTCATTAAATCACTGTCTTCGCAAAGTTTTTAAATTGAGATTATAACAGACATGTGTGGTATCCAACCATTGAAAGGGAAATAAACCATTTCAATTGACTGTGTTGAATGGACCATGCAACAAAAATTCATCGTTGATATTCCATAAGCACTTGCCAAAGCTTTTTGTTTTTGCGCAATACGTTAATACTTAAATTTAATATAAATCAACTTTATTTAGAGAGAGTGCACTCAGGACCATAGCCACCGGTACTGTTGGTCCGGTTGAAACCGGACCAACTTTCGGGRAAAAAATATTAGAAAAATAATTWAAAAAATATAAGAAAAACTAAAAACCCTCAAAAATCGGACCAATCAGAAATTTGTGGCTACAGCCCTTGACAGTTGAAACTAATAAACTTGTGGCCCTCTATGGTTAACATCTCTGAAAGAAATTGGACCGCCATTTTACTTGCATGGACATCTAAGCCACAGTGAAGGTCTAACTAATGTGCAGATATTTGTTAAAGCAACTAGGGCAGTAACCGGTTCTACTCAGATATTTTAAGACCCTGAGTGTGGGTCAAGTACATAAGTGCTATTGAGAAGGATTTGTATAATTGTTACCTTCAATGATCTCTTATCTTTCCTCAAGTCTTGTTCTGAGGTCCTATGATCATCCTGCGCCAGTTTAATTGCAACAGAAGCTGATAGTTCAATGAAATTCATCATATTAATTAAATTGTCCTAATTAATCAAGGAATCAATTAATTAAACAATATATATCAAAGCACAGATGGGCAGGAGTTATGTACATTTATATTGTAATGGTAGAAATAATTCTTTAACTTTTTTACTGTAGCTGAAAGCATCTCAGAAAAAAAAGGAGTCCCTGATACATGTAGGAACCATACCCATGACTTTCCAAATAACTGTATGTGACAGAGTCAAAAGACACTATTTTGGACAGTAATTATTTAGTCATAAATCTATATTTTTAATTAGGAATGCCTCGTGTACACATAGGAATGTAATTCTTTA